TTTCTGTATGCAGCCCAACAGCAAGCTACCTGTATTCATCCACTTGCCCACCTACTGGTGTGTGTGTGGTCTGGTCTACATAAGTTACCACCTACTTTTATGCTTCCTGCCCTAATTCATCTATATCTGTAGTCACACTCAGCTATCTATGTACATAAAAAATTTAACATACAAAGTTAACAAAAAGGATATTTTGTTTTGCTAAGTCGCTTTGTTTTAAAAGGCTCCAGTTCCTTCAGTTTCTCTTTCACAGCAGCTTTTTCTTGTATTTTCTTCTCTTTTTTATTTATATCTGATTTCAGGGTTGGAATCCTGAAAATATTTAAACATAATTGGTGACAGATCACGGCTTGGTTAAAAAAAAATCATAGGTAAAAGAAAAAAGAACTGACTATAAATCAAACAAATAATAATGCTAATGATATTCCTTGCGTCCCTGTGTGGGTCCAGAAGCTCCGTTTTGGGAGTATTTAGAATAGACCCACAGACCCTCCTAACAAGCGTGTCATAGAAGTCGACTAATTTGGGTGTTCCCTCGAAGTCAGAGTGCATCTGCCCGAGAGGCAAGGAACAAATCTACTGTATTTAAAAAGTCCTTCTTCTGGAATTCACAAGGAAAATTAGATTTCTAAAATACACAAAGAAGAGAATATGAATAAGGAGGCCTTGGCATGACTGACTGAGAGCTGATGATCCATGAAGAAAAAAAAGGTGGAGGAAGAAATTCTACTACAAAAATACTGTTCATACAACACACTACATTAACAGATTTGTCTGTGCTTATGCATATAATCGCATGTCACTCGTTATCCAATTCAAAAAGCTATTTTTAGTGAGATAAAGAGTGGAATTTGTGTACATACTGATGACAATAGAAAACTGACAGAACAAACGGATGAGCATAATAATCTGAGAACACAAAGGAAGCTCAATTCTGAATCTTTGAAGGAAAAAGAAAACTGCAACAGAAACAATCTCAATAAATTTACGAACAGAGGAAGGGGTCTTGAAATTTGCAGCAGAAATGTGAAGAGTATATAGAAACACACAGCTCTCTCTCCACAACTACAAAGTCAGTTGTCTGAAAACTGAAGAGCTTAAACACTGCAAACTTGTCCCATTTAACATACCTGAAAATGAAGAGGCACAAGAAGGTGGATGACTGCCTCAGCCTAATATAATCAGTTTTTAAAAAAGTACCCCTAGAACCAAGTGGAATCAGAGCAATCAAGCTCCCAGAATGATGATTACAAATTCCACTGAAGTAGGCACACAATGTATGAAAAAAACATATTTTTTCCCTCTATAAGGAAACATACCTTAAAACCATGTTCTCCCTTTTCTTTATTTCAGCTTCTTTTGCCCTCTTTTTGCTCTGAAATTATAAGAATGTGTGACAGACTGAGGGTATGGGCAGCTTAGTTAAAATCATATAGCAAGTATTTAGAAAGGTTGACCTACAATACAGCTGAAAAAGAAAGAAATATACAGCCAACATAAAACCAGCAGGTTCTAACAAATATGTGGAAATGTTAAAATATCAAATACTCCAGAACTTAAATATTCAAAATGCAGAAATAAATGAAGGACAAGTACTTTTATTTTATTTTACTAAAATGTAAATTAAATTAATTACTCGAATGAAGGTTACAAACCAAATACAAACTCCGACAAAATGTCACATTAGGAAACAGTTTTGAGTATGTATTCTTTCAGAGAGATAAATAATTGATTAAACATTTCATTGACTTCCTCCAGTCAAACGAATGCAATGTTAGAAATAAAAGCTCCAGGGTCTCAAACACCAGAAAAGGAAGGCTAGACACTCGGAGGGATTACACAAATGTAAACACAAGAACACAAAATATATTACTGACAGCATATAAATACTGCAAAAACATTATATATATACAAACAATAACAAACAAAATACGCTTATACTAACATTTTCTTCCTCTTCCTTGTGCACCCGTCTTTGCTTCCTGGTTTTTCTGTCTTCTCGTCTCACTGGAGGATTGATTGAAACTAGCATGTCACCATCACTCCCATCTTCATCATCATCACTTGAATCGTCCACAAGCCCAGCAGACATTTCCATCAAATATGTGGACTATAAGAAATAAACATAATTATCAGCCAATTATTGAGGAGCATAGTACAGAGAAGAGAGATTAACTGGTTTGTCAGAAGCAAATACACATAGACAGTGTAGCATCCTGGGTGTTAAAAATATACCATTGTTACCATTTGTACAGAAATTGGTTAAGACTGACATTACAGCATTCTCATAGGCATCCTGTCTTCATCTTCAGCAGCCAGTAGTTTCAATACTAATGATGCCAGTTGCTCTTATTTTATGCTTGTCTTACATGTCTACTAAGCACTGACTGTTTACTAGATTATTTGGTCCCTTGCCATTTCATTATTTCTTCCAGACTGTGATAATCTATTCTCTCCTCTGCTTGTTCGCATGCCCCATAAGGCCTTTGTCAAATCAGCCTTTTCTGCATCAATTAACTATCTAACTAGGAAAAAAAAAGCTAATTTGCCTGATTATTCATTTCACATCAAACGAACATCTACTAACTTCTCACTTGATATTAAGAAAAACAAAGAAAGAATGTGAGATACAGGTTTCTGTAATATAAAAAAAAATAAGCGAAACATTTACTGCAAGAGTGGTATATTTTAAATATAAAGCACTTTTGTTATACATAAAAAAGAAAAAGGAATTTTTATAAGGTATTAGCAATCTTCATTTGGCTGTTGCATTTAAAAGTATATTAGATTCAGAATTTGTGTTTGAGAAGAAGCAAGTATGGCAGAATCTGCTGGATAAATGATGACCTTGATTATCCAGTAAGTGGTCTTGGTTCAATCTCTACAAGTGCATGGACAATTTCTATAAGGTTCTTTTAACTGGGTACTACTGTCACTTTCAGAAAAATCTGGGAGAGGAGAAATAGTCAGGAAGGAAACAGCCACCCTGCTGTGCTGTGGCCTAGAAAATGTAAAGGCCTATGACCCCACTTCCCAGGAGGTACCAGCCTTGGGCCTAAAATTAGTGAACAGTTAATAAATTCAGTTAAGCTAATGCCATGTGTTGTGTGCCTGAGAAAGAGAAAAGGAATTTCCCAACACAGCCAGCTGCTTCACTGTGACTGAATAGTTTCCCATCCCATACATGTGTCATGTGACTGAACAGTTTCCCATCCCATACATGTGTCATGTGACTGAACCGTTTCCTATCCCATACATGCAAATGTAGCAGAACGTGTGGAACTAGCTATATCAAACTACCATTGCGTCTGGTGCATCAGTACCCAGAAACACTGCAGGACAGCAACTAAAATGCAGTTAGGGAGGAATGTTTCGGATTAAATCCCACATTTTAACGTGAAGTCAAGAGGATCAACTCCACCGCACATGGTTTTAATCCCACATGCCTGTTTCTGTGGAGTGACAAGCCATCTGCTGAGAGTGTCAGACAAAGCATAAACTTCAGAGCTCCAGCAACAAACTCAGTGGCCTATAAACTACCAACACTGCTCTGTGTGGGTTTTCCATTTCCTGTTTTAATCCTATGAAATGTTTTGCATGTAACCAAACAAAAGTATTATTACCTCATCAGGAGCATCACGTTTATTAGGAAACTTGGCTTCCAAAGAATTGTAAATTTTCCTCTCCTTCTTGAGTCTTTCTTCTTCTTTCACAAGAGCTTGGTATAACAAATCCTAATGGTAACAGGATGAAAAAAGCAGAATGTCACAAACTAAACAAATGCAACAAATTTTAAGTATCAGTAAAACAAAATATGCAGGTGTGTGTTAGTTTTCAAAAAAATATCAAATTCCTCTTTGTTTTACACATGGAAAAAGCATAAAAAGCAAACAGGTAAATTCATTTATCATATGCATGCTAAATGTGCACTGTGACACTTGGTAGGAGATGTGGTAAACAAAGAAATCTCCATATCTAGAGATTCTTCTCTTTACACAAAGAATGAGCAATAACATGGAAATACCATAAGTACACAAATCTGTGTGTGTGTGGAGGGGAGGAGGGTGTAAGGTCAAAAGCTAAACAAAGGCTCATGCACGAGGAATCTGTTTCTTTTTTTCTTACTAATATTCTTTGATAAACCAGTATAATTCTCAACCTTCTTTAAAATAATACAGGGAAAAGAGAAATCATATAATATGGAGATCAGAGAAAACAGATGCATCATTTAAAGGTACACTTCAACAATGACTTTATGTAAGCTGAAAATTACTATATTTTAAACTGAAAAAATAATTGTTGACAATTATTACTGCAACAATTATTACTGAATCAGAAATTTGTTTTACTTACTATTGTGCGCCTTGAAAAATATGTTTATTTGTCTGGTTTTATAAGTATAGACAAGTTAAAACTGTATGCAGAAAATTGCTAATTGCACTCACGTTGGTGCAATGTGGTGAGTAGAAAATTGCAGAATTACTAACATATCCATAAGATATGTCAGTTAAAAATTCTGCACCTGCCTTTATCCCTCAATAAAACACAGGTCTTCAACTAATTCAAGTCATCCTAAATGTGTATAGGTCATCTCATGTTCTCTTTTTCTCTCATCCCCCAATGGAGCCTGGGTCCTCAACCACCTCATGCCAAGTGGTTCTATCCTTCACTATTGCATGCAGCTCACCCCATGTCCTCCACATCTTTTTAACTTCACTCTCTAGCTCCCTTCTTAATGTGTTTTTTCAGTCTGCCTATAGTTTTATGCCCCTGTGGGTTCCAGTGCAAAGACATTCTAGTTATTTTGTACTCAAGTTCTCAAAGCGTGTCCTATCTAACGCCAGCATCTTTTCTTCACCTCTTGGTTCAACAAGGCTGTGTCGGGATTTAGACGAAAAAATAGGGCCCGGCATTTCAATGCCCCCTCTCATATCAGAAGAAAAATCATGAGTTCACCCCTCTCAAAAGAGCTCAGGCAGAAAAACAATGTCAAAAGTATGCCCATCAGAAAGGATGATAAAGTTGCCGTTGTTCGTGGACACTACAAGGGACAGCAGACAGGAAAGGTGACTCAAGTCTACAGAAAGAAATTTGTAGTCTACATAGAACGAATCCAGCGTGAAAAAGCAAACGGCGCAACTGTCAATGTTGGTATCCATCCTTTAAAAGTTGTCATTGTTAAGCTGAAACTGGACAAGGATCGCAAGAAGATTCTGGAAAGAAAATCCATGAGCAGAGCCAAGGCTCTGGCAGAGAAGGGCAAGTACACAGAGGAAACCATGGAAAGCTGATTGCATTCTCTTTAATAAAGTGTTTAAAACTGGAGAGAGAAAAAAATCATACATCATACAAAGTTCTAACAATCTTGGTGCCAATTCTTGAGATTTTCCTAGGTAAAAGGATGTACATCTATGATCCAGACTCCTTTCTCCTCACTGTGTCATCTTTCTTCTGTTGGAAGAGCCTCCCCTCAATTTTTGATTTTCCATGGTTTGTTGGTTTTTGTGGCTACTTTTTTTTTTTGACAGGATGAGGTAGCCAGCCAACATCTAGATTAACCCTACCTTTAGTTGGCTCTTACGCCATGCCTAGTAGGGTGCAGTGTCACTATTCTTTTCTTCCTGCGAGGGCTCCAGTAACACACATGCATCTTTTTTATTTGGTCTGCCTTATTCCTTTGACCATGTGGGTTCCTGTTTAAGGCCATTCAAGTTATACTGTTATCAGGTTTGTTTCAATATGTCCCATCCAGCATCAGGAACTTTCCCTCATCTCTTGATTCACTGAACCTGTTTAGTTCTCGCCTAAAGCTCTACATTAGTAATTCTTGCCATACCATTCAATTCACTTATTCTGTGCAGGCAACAGTTAATGAAAGTTTGTAGTTTATTGGTAATTGTTGCTCTTGGTAAAGTTATTGGTAAAAGCTATTCTTCACGTTACAGCACCAGGAAACACTAAGGTTGAAAACTGCTCAACTACACATAAAAATAGTCAACACCATTACCTGATGATCCTCAAAGGAAGGGTTGACTGAGGCCCCTGGGTGTGGAATAACTGTAGCCTTTAAAGCACTTGGCTTTCTGCGGTATCTCTTGGGAGGCTGTCAACAAAGACAGTTTTAATAATTATGGACAAAGAGTTGATATAGTTGAAACTGTCATCTTGTCAGTCTACAAGCATGGCTGAAAACTGCAAATTATGTTGTGATCCTTGCCTGTAGTAAGTGCTGTGGGGATGTTGTTTTACTGATGCAGATTTACAGCCAGTACACTACCCACATGAAGAAAACAGGGGATTGTGGGAAGAAACCCACTGTACCACTAACAAACGTGCCACATAAGGTGACTAATTCAGGGTTTGCTGGCATTAAATGTGTTAAGCCAAAAAATGCATTGCCAGAAGCCTAGCTGTAATCCACAACACAATGTGTTAACCGAACTTTTATGGGCAATGCAAAAGAAGAGAAAGAAAATTTAAATCAGCTCTACAGTCTGCAATCACTCTTCCTGGTCTTAACTCATGCAGCCTGCTCAGTTTCATTGATAGATACTTCAACACAGTAAGCTGATAACTACAGTTTATTACTCCTACAAAGTTCTTCTTGGTTAATGAGCCAATGGTTTGAAGTCTAGGGTGACAGCTACACAAGAACAATCTCAAATACGTTCATTACCTGACTAGAGTATTCAATTAAAGTCCTTCCAATTGTTGGCACTTCAGATCTCAAACCACTCAAACTTACAGCAGATGATGTTCAGTCATTCAAAAGTGTAGGGCTACCAACATAGCCAGGTTTTCTCAAGAAACAGGTCAGCGGCCTAAGCAAACATTCCCTTATTTCATGGTTACACTCAGTTCACACTCTCCCAAGAGTCTATTCTACTTCTTGTAAGCTCAGAAGTTTCACTCACAATTTCATACATTTCTGACACACTTCATCTGCCTTGCATAAGTACTAATTACTCAATCTGTTCACGCACACATAATTAATAATCAATGCCATTCATCCGAATTCTCACTCATAATTTAAGTTTAGTGGCTGTCCTCATTTCCATAACAATGAGAGAATCCAAACAATGAGAGAACTGACCAACTTGAGAAAATGACTCATTACAAGGATGTTTATGAGTTAGTGTTTTCTTCGTGCTGACTGACTGCAAACTCTAGCAGAAAGTTTTAGTTGTTCATCCACTTTTGGGCTTGACTTTAGTCTTGTTCCATTTACGAGTTTTGCTTGCATATCTGTGTTTTTTTAAAAATAGTTTTAGCTTATCTGTATGCACACTAGGGGTGCAGCTGGATAGGCGGTTACATTGTTCAGCTCTCATGCGGGAGACCCAGGTTTGAGCCCCAGGAAGGTGGTGTGAGTTTTTCTGCAGGAAGAAAACTAAACATCCTACCCTGCACAGTTTATGGCGACAGGACTGGCCATGCTGCCCTAAACCTAAACACTCAGGCTCACGACCCCCCCCCCCTCCACCCCGATGAAAAAAGTGGTAAAACAGACAGTAGTGACAGTCAGTAGGCAGACTGTTGGTTCCTCGTCTCTCAGACAGAAGCAAACTAACTATTCTTTATTCCCCACAATGGAGCTCCAGAACCTACTCAGTGTTAATACAGTGTTCACTAAAGAGGACATTTATAAAGACAGAATATGATCAGTATTCACTCCTATGTATTGTGAAGATTTACTGAAAATAACGCGGAAAATCAACGGTAGAGAAAAAATAAAGAATGACAGAAGACTTTAAAAATTACAAAGACGAAAAGAAAATGAAAGAACAATGTCAGATTAATTCTTCTCAACTCTTTCAGTCTCAAGGCACTTAACATGCATTTGTTAATTACTCAACACTTGGTATACTTTACTCAACGTATTCTGTCTCTTTTTTTCTATTTTGTGAATCCACCATATCTTAAATATGCCTCTAACTTGTTCTGTCCCATCAACATCATCTTTCGTGTGCCGTAAGACATCACATAGGGATTACATTTAATACCTCCACTTCTCTCTACTGCATGCAACTTTTTCAGTTTCTGACATGATATTTTTTTTAGTTCTCATAATAAGTTTTTTAATGTTTCCCTTAGACAACTTATTTTTCTCAGGCTGTTGTTTCCCATTTTAGTGCTTGTTTTGTAATTCTTAGCTCATTTCATCTCAGTGTGCCCAATATATCTCCAACATCTTTGTCTTACTGCATTCAATACATGTAGAAAACAGACAGAAAATCCAATTATCTTAAATGATGAAGCAATAGAGGAAGTTGAAGAATTTATACACCTCGTAAGTATAGTTACTCCAGATAGAGATTCTGAAAAGGATGTAACATCAAGAATAAACAAAGCAAATCAAGCATTTGTCATGCTTAAAAATATATGGAAGTCAAAGGGATTTAGTCTGAAGACAAAAATCAGGATAAATGTTTAAGGAGAATTCTACGAGATCACAAATGAAGAACTGAGGAGGAAAACAGAATATGCATCACTGGCAACTGCTATCAAAATAAGATGATGGAAATGGCTCGGACATGTTTGCAAGATTTAGCAAAAACAGCTCTCAGGTGGACAGCATATGGGAAAAAGAGACGTGGACGACCTAAGGAAACCTAGAGAAGGATAACTGATCGGGAAATGAAGGAATGTAAACTGACATGGGATACCATGGGCAGAAAAGCAGCAGACCTGCAGCAATGGAGATCACTTGTGAGTTATGAATTAGATTACGTTCACAGCACTCCGGACACATCCACATGCGCTCAGATTCCCCTCTCAACATATTCATCAGCGTCGTGCGGTTAATAGCACCAGTCCTATGTTGGTTAACAAGACTTTGTGTGCGTCCAGTGTGCTTCTCGTGCTTGGCTGTGCCGATCTTTACTCCCCATACGCGTATCCTTAGCACGTTGCTTCCAAAATCTTCAGAATGTCCTATCTCTCTAAGGGCAATGACAATGTCTGCGTGATCCATGGGGCGGCCATCTTAAATTAATGCAGCACCTGCCAGTCTATCAGCTCTCTCATTACCAACAACGCCTGCATGCCCTGGGACGAATACGAAAGTGACTGCACACACAGGAGAATTTTGCAATGACTCAAGTCACTGTCTGCGTAACCAGCCTGCCTCGACCCATGGAATCATGCTCAAAGAATCACTCAGCACACACACATGCGGGAATAGTCCTGTGATCCCAGCCACATGAAAGCCTGTGTCACAGCCATCACCTCCATTGTCATGCTGCTGGTGGTCATGGAGAAGGCACTGATGGCTTCCTTAACCGTCTGAAGAGTGAGCTGTAAATACTAGGGCTGTACCGAATAGTGATTTTCACTATTCGGCCGAATACGAATACTGGGACCAACTATTCGGCCGAATACGAATACAAATAGTGTATCATCATCATCAGGTGCCTTGTCGACTGGCGTGGGTGATCATGTCTCTCCACAATCTGCTTTCTCCTGCAGCATGTATTAGTTCGTGTACTGACACACCTCCATGCCATGCAACAAGACTATCAAGAATCTTTTATCGTTGACTTGCTCTATCCCTCCTTCCACAGATCTTTCCAGTGGTCACCAAAAGTTCAATTTTCCATCTTCTCATATCATGGCTAAAAAAATGACGACTGTTTCCTTCTGATGTTTGTGATTAGTTGTCTTCGGGCTCCCGCCTCTTTCAAAACCATCGTTCGTTCGATATAATTTAAACGCACCTTCATATTCTCGTTAGCAATATTTTCAAATTTGATTTGGGCGAAGACACCCTGAAAGAACGAAAAATACATGATCTCATTCTCTCTTCCTCTCTCTCACACACACACAGTACACACTATCTCTCACACACACTGTGGTTGGCATTTTATGCAGTTTGTACTACGCAACCGGGTCGCAGTTTCCCCCGCTATGACAGACTTAGGCAACAGCAACTATTGTGTTAATAAGAGAGTTATTTCAGTCCATCACAGTGTATGCAGAAACGGGAGTAAGGTAAGCACTATTCGTATTCGGCCCGACCGCAACTATTCGGCCGAATACTGAATAGTTATTAGGCCCCGAAGCGAATATTCGGTACAGCCCTAGTAAATACCCATGCACTCTTATGTCCTCGTATAACGGACCCGTCTGTGAAGATCACTACATCTGTCTCACTGATAAGCGAGCATACCTCAGCATTGACAGCAGCTGGATTTTGCTCCCAACAATTCCTACCTAGTGTCATGACACAGGAGAATGTGAGTTTGGGCGCTTTAGACGCTGGTATCCACTCCTCACCTTGATGGATATCTGTAAGGCTGCATGATGTTATCCTCTGCCCTAACTAGCCATGATTTGCCCCTTTTATGCCTATTGCTCCTTTTCTTGAAGAGCATGTGCTTAAGATCTAAGCTTATCTTGAGGTATGCACGAGCCCTCCAGATTCACTTGTGAATACTCCACCTGTGGGTTTTGGGGCCCTATTGTAGGGGGAAAAAGAACAGACCCACTGCCTATCCAAAAGCATGTTGTAAGAGTCAACTAATTGGGAGCTTCCTTGGGAGCAACACTCAGGTTCTGGAATAGGAGGACTGCAGTCCAGAAGTGGACGAACAACCCGAACTTTCCGCCGGAGTTTACAGTCGGTGAACGCGAAGAAGAAGACTTGTGAATGCCTTATGTGTCAACAGCGACATGAAGAGGATATAGATTCAATACATGTATCTGTCCTAACATTTCTCTGATCTCACTTTTAAAAAAATTCATCCCATTTTGTGTTCATGACTTTCCTCAGTTTTGTATCTGCCACACAGCTGTGTTATAATTCAGAAAGATTCTTCTTCTTCTTCTCAGCGTTCACCAGTGACAAGTCCTGGCTGTTGGTCCTCTTCTAAAATGTGGCTTTGTTCCAGGACTTAAGTCTTGCATGCACATAACATCCATTTTACAGATCTGGCCTATGTGAATGCAGACTGTTGGTTCCTTGCCTCTCAGGCTGATGTTGTCCAGCTGCAAAGGATACAGATGTTATCTATATAGGCCAGGACCCTGGTAGGAAAACCTGTTTCTAGAATGACACAGAGAGGTGTTGGCAGGTCTAGACCAGTTTATGCCCTGGTCCTAGGGCACCACTTCTGCATCCCCAAAAAGGTTCAAACCCTGGTATCTTAAAGCACACAGACTGCAGGATAGCAAGTATTACACAAATTATTATTAGTAACTATAAGTGTTAAGAATTATAATTATAAAGACACAAACTGACCTTGTTGACACTTGATTCCCTGTCATCTTTGTCATCTGAGAAATTGAATTATAAAATCGTGTAACAACTCATAAGATAATTAGGCTTATGAAAAAAAAAACATTTGTGATTCATAAAAATGTTTCAGTCCAGCACTGTTATGCATTAAACTAGCCAGCAAGCAATGCTAATGTATGAGCTCTTCATGATGAAAGCTGACTTTCAATGCTATCAGTGCTTTCAGATTTACTGTAATGAAAAGTATGTGACTCATCTCATGCTTGTGTAACAATAGATAACAGTCAACTTACTTCTAGACTTTAGTCTTGCTCCAGAACTGACTTATTTGTATGCAGACTGTTGGTTCTTTGCCTCTCAGGCAGATGCACTCCAACTTCTTAAAGAATACACCCATAATTAGTCAATTTTTACGCCATGTTTGTTACTTGTTAGGAGGGCATTGGGTCTACCCCCACCCCACTCCCACCAAATGGGGCCCTGGATTCCATACAGAGAGGAGAGTCATGATCACTATGTTTGTTCCTGAAGAAAATGTACATAAGAGAAACATACCTGCCCAGAGATCACTGTCAACAACTGGCAACTGCCTTTTCTGTGCTTGCGCGACTTTCCTTGTCTCTTCATACTTCTGGCTTTGCTTCTGAGCTGCCACTCGAACCTGAGACTTGGATCTTTCTCTTACTCTGTCAATTATTCTCTTTTTCCTCAATCCTTTCTGAAAATTTTGGCTGTCTGGTCTGAAGTTGGGAAAAAAATGGTTGAATTAATGGGCTAGTTGATGTTACTGCATAGAGTGCCTAAATAAGATTCTGTTACTTTCACCACTTTTGTATTACTGTTGCTGGAAATATTTCAGTGTGAAGCTGATGTGAACACCCATTCTGGGACCAAAATAATATTTTTTTCCTTAATTGTCTTCACATTCACCGGCTGAAACTCAGTGAAAAGTTCTGGTTGTTCATCCACTTCTGAACTCTAGTCCTGTTTCAAAAAACAGTGTTGCATGCAGATCTGACTCATTAGCATGCAGACTGTTAGTTCCTTGCCTCTCAGACAGATGAACTCTGACTTCGAAGGAAGCTCCCAATCATTCGACTCTTACGGAATGCTTTATGGCAGGCAGTGGGTCTATTCTTGTTTTCCCCCACAATGGGGCCCCTGAACCCACATGGGGAAAATACTATTTCAACTGAGACTCTGCTGCACGCCCCCCCCCCCCTTCCCACTCTTACCTCTGCATGCTTGAGACACCAGTAGGGAAACAAGACCAGTACTAGATCTTCACATTTGTGAAAGCCAAATATTAGGATGCAACCAGGACAAGACTCGATGCAGCAAATAAGGACTGGCAAAGATTGTGCTTTTGTTTGTAATGTTTCAGTTGGTAGAGGGTTTCATTATTCTGACTGCAGAGGAGGAAAGATCCAGGGATAATGAGGAAAGATCACACTGCAGTTACAAGTGCGGGTTCCAGAAATAAGTCACAATCTTTGAACAGAAAAGACACAAAGAACAAACTGCACTATGTATTGCCTAGTATAAGTGTGTGTGTGTGTGTGTGTGTATGGTGGATATTTGTAACCCAGCTGAAAGGAGTAATTGCTTCTTCTGATTTAATTATGTTCCTGTAGTATGCACCTAAAAATGAACCAGGCAATAAGTTGTGCAGTCTTTTGTTTTTGTTGTTGTGTGTGTCTTAACATTTACAATGCTGAAACAGAGCAATAACAAAACCATCTGTAAAGGGTGTTCAAAAGAGACACACAACATCCCGCTACAGAGCAGAATCTGTTCCAGTCCAGCGTGCACTGAAAATATTCATCAAAACTACCAGGCAAGAAAGACAGTGTTTACTGACTGCAAATCTCATCTTGCAACAATTTAAAACTAAAAAATTAAAATCTGCTGCATAAAAAAATAACAGAGTTCAACAGCAACTAAAGATCATCAAAAGGTTAGCATCTCAGTGTGTAGAATTACTGTGAATGAGAAGTAATTTATTGTCTCAAAATGGCAGCAAAACAGAAACATTCAGGAGGCTGTGTCACAGAAGGAAGCATTTTTGGATACACTTTCTCTGTGTGGCTTGCAGAGCCCATTGTGGGAAAAACAAGTACAGACCCACCATCTACACAAAAGCATGCCGTAAGAGTTTAATTGGGAACTTCCTTCAAAGTCAGAGTTCATCTGCCTGAAAAGCAAGGAGCCAACAGTCTTCGCACAAATTAGTCAGCTCTGTAAAACAGATGTGCATACATCACTCAGCGCCTGGAACAGGACTAAAGTCAAGAAGTGGATGAGCACCCAGAACTTTTTACTGGTGAAGGCTAACAAGAAGAAGGATACATCTGTCTGTCTCTAACAATAAGATACTGTTCTTACGTGCGCACTGGTTTACTGTTAGGGTCTGGCTGAAGCAAGGCATAACATCTTAACTGCTTCAGTTTATCTCTCCGACTCTGTCTGCTTCTTGTTTCAATACCTGAAAACAGTTTGATTCATGGCACTGACACAAACATTATATACTGCCACATTTTAAATTTTAAAAATATATGACCAATGGTTCTCCTTAACATTTAAAAGAGAAGGGAGTAAAAAAAAAATCAACCTTTTTTCTACATAAAGTCTGGAGCATAGGCCCTCAACCATTTTACTCAAAACCTTTTTTTAATTTAATACTTTTGTTGATTGTTTTAGTTTCTCCCTTGTTATTCTTATTCTTCCTCTGCCTTCATCTGAAGATGTAATTGTGATGTGTCTGTTTACAGCATGGCTGCGATATTTGTACCTTTTGGACGAAACATCTAACTTCCGCAGGCATTTGCTGACTAGGTTAGCCTTCCTGGTTAGTTTTGTAGGACACTGTTGTGTGGTCATCTTTGTTTCATAGGTTACATGTGGTGCCCCACATTGGGCCGGTCCAGAGAAGCCAGGTCAGTACTCAAGGTAGATAGGTAAGTTGTACCCCACCAGGACATCACACAACCGATAAACACCCGGTGACACGTAATTACCATACGGATGAGGATCACTCGTGGAGGTTCCAGAAACCCCGTTCAGCTATTAGGCCATTTATGACCCGGCTATATTTAGGGCCCCCGGCTAAGGCCAGAGTGGGATTAAAAATAATGAAAAATTGCATCCTACATGGTGATGAGTTATACTGCTAGCTCTTAAGATAAGGCAGGGGCAGAACAGAGCATTCTCTGCCATCCAAGGAGGCTTCCAAAATGCAGAGCCAATACATGGTGCCCAGGTACTGGGCTCACCCACAAAATCATCACGTCCTGCTCGTGGCTGTTTCACCTTGCTTCCATATAGTGAATATCAAATTCATCACAGGCAATGCCTTCAGAAGCCAGCAGTAGGCAACCTGCAGACTCGGTATCTTAATTACCTACACAAACGAGTACTCTGCTTCTTTTGCTTGTAAGACTTTTACTGCAGTGGACTTCCCTGTCCACTATAGTTTCAGATGATATTTCCTTTATAAGATGCCTCTTGACATCAAGTGTGGCAGTATACGTACAGTGGGTACGTTTCACTTTCTTCCCACGTCGTGATTAACGAAATCTGCATCTCTAGGGACTATCAGCTCAGAGAAATACTAACAGTTTTCTCCTTCTTATACCTTCAGATGTCAAAATGTGCATACTGAAAGAAATCAGAAGTCAACCTGAGGTTGCTGACATCTCCCCAGAGTTTGTCCTCAAAATGAGCACGTGTAAGCCAGAATAATTCTCTATGTTCTGTATATATTTAATACTCTTGCAGCAAGTGTTAGCCGTCATTTGACTATTTCCCCGGTTATAACCATCAATGTCTCATATCTTTAGCTTAATGAACAAGTGGTGCTTCAGCTTATTATGCCCAGTGCATAGTCTAATGATCACTTTTTGTTCTCTTCGGTCAAGCCGGTAGTATACATCCTTTTTCTTTGAACCTGGATGTTTAGAATCCCATTTAGTACTACAGGAACTCATAAATCTCTTGGCCTCATCACATGTTATTTCTAAATGAGGCTGGGCTAGTCTTCCACCTTCCTTTGCCAGTCTGTCAGCTCTTCATTTCCAGGTATGCTGCAATGGAATGGAATCCATTATGCTATGACACTTTTTCCATTTCTGACTCAGTTCATGGAGTGCAGCTCTACGGTCTGCTAGCTCTGTACTGTTTTTGCTTTTCAGTACGGTGACCACTGACTTCACATCTGTGGAGATAGCTATGTGTTTCTATTTTACTCTGAGAGAAGAATTTCTTCTGCAATTCTCACGACCTCTGCTCTAAATTTACTGGACAATTTTTCGGCTGCAACTGATTTTGTTTTCTATAATTCCTATTTCAGATCCAGGACAATTTTCTGTTTTTTTTTGCTGATCCATCTGTATAGGCATGTCCAGGTGTTATTTATGTATTGTTCTTCAATGTAGTTTAATGTGATTTTTCTTTCTTTCTTTTTCATCCTAATGATTATTTTCTTAAAACCATGAATTTTTTGGGGGGTCAACAGGGTTATGCTGCAGTCTCCAAGTAGGGAGCCTGTATGTTATGTGGTCAGGTTTGGATGTTGATATGTTAAGTTTAGGATTGTCCCTGATCTAAGTTTTTAATAGTCTCTTCAATGTTTTTCTCTAAGTCTTCTCTTCCTACACCATTAAACCTTTGATACATGGGCTGATCTGTGAGCCTTCTAAATGTGTCTGCTTGTTGCTGGACTCTGCTGTCTCTCCTATACTTTATTGGTTGCAGACCTGTGATCTTTTCTAGTTCATTAACAGGCATTGTTTTCATGGCCCCCGTTATCCGCATTCCTTGGTTTTAGATTCTACTTATGGTAATGTATGTTTTTTTCTCTTGGAAGGCATCTTCTATTTCCTGGGTTATTTATGTTATTTAGTCTTCTGTGGAGCTGCACTTTCTAAATCCTGCCTGTTGTGAAGTAAGAAGATGCCTGTCTTTCTAGATCCCCCCCCCCCCCCCATTAATCTGTTATTTATAATGTGCTCCATCAATTTCCCTACACAGCTGACTGGTCAATAGACATTCAGTTCTACCTGGTCTTTTCCTTTCTCCTGGACTGGCATAGCTTCCTTCCATGCCTGAAGGACTGTTCCTCTCTTCCAGCTGCTATTAAAGACTGCTAGTAATTGACCTTTTGCCCTAGAATCTAGTTCCATTACCATTTCATTTGTGATCTCATCCTTCCCCGGGAATTTCTTCTTTTTTTTCAGGGAACACACTGCCTTTTCTAGCTCTCTCATATTTATATTTTCAATCACAAATTTAGTTATTTTGACATACCTGTTGCTCTTTCATTGCATTTTTGCACGTTAATCGTCTACATGTGGTATGCAATTTTTTTGTTATTTGAAGCCTTACTCTGGCTTTTGCGGGGTCCTGAATATATAGCTAGGCCATAAATATGGCCTAACGTATCAATGGGTTTTCTGGGACCTCTCCACAGGTGATCCTCATCTGCATGGTGGCACTTTGTGTCTTCTGGTGTTTATAGCTTGTGTGATGTCCTGGTGGGGTACAACAAAAGAGAGAGGGGGTCTCTCTTCGTCTGGTTCCTCTCCTTCAACCTGTCTGACATGGGAGACACTACCAGTAGCTTAGCTATTAGGGTCACTAGAATGCATGAACCCCTCTACCACTACAAGGTGGAGACACATCAGTGCTGTGTTTTTCATCTGACTTTAATTCTTATTTCCATATGACCATAGCACTTCCCATATTACTTAAGCCTTGTGGGGTTCTAGAAACAAGCATATGGAGACACATCAGTGCTGTGTTTTTCATCTGACTTTAATTCTTTATTTCTATATGACCATAGCACTTCCTAAATTACTTAAGCCTTGTGGGTTCTAGAAACATAAGCAAGTGTCTTTTTACTTTATTTTATTCTGCACTGTCAACAAATGATTGTTGTAATTACTTGAAAACTTTAGTCACCTTTAATACTTCTGTTCCATATAGCAGTACTGACTTAACTGCTACAAATGCTATAGTGAAATTAAGTTTGATTTCTTCCCAACAGCATACCCATCTTTGACATGTATAACTTACTATGTGACAATGACATCAATATTCCCCTCGTGGAATATATAGCACATCTTATGAAAAGGACACCAGAACACTCATCTTGGGACTGTATGTACCGCACTTGACAATGACATCATCTTAACCCATCTGTATCTACCTCAGTTGACAATGACACCATCTTGAGTTGTGTAACTCAGCTTGGAATAATGACATCAGTACACTCACTCTTGGGTATGTGTGTACCTCATTTGACAATGACATCAGTACACTCAATTTGGGAGTGTTTAACTCACTTTACAGTGACAACTGATCTTTGTGTACTCACCCTGACTGGCAGGTTTTAAGCCTGTATCAATAAGAAACAGGTTTTCATCCGCCTTCTCTGCAACCAAACCACTGTGAATAAAATTAAACCACACAGATGAACATTCCAGCTAACTCATTCAGTACTATACATATTTACCACACTGGGACAGGGGTGGGTTATATATAAAGCAGCTTAGAAGTACAGCCACAAATTCTTAGCCTACAAAGACTGATACAGCATTAAACAAAAATGTTATGCTTTCTATGTCTGCGAGACTTTGATCCTTCACTTTTTCTGCAGTCCTCTACAACTCTTGCAAGCTTCTAAAGTTTACAATCTAGAACTACAGGTATAATAGACCTTTCTCAGCCGTATGTAGTACAGTGCATACGTTTTACAATGCAACAATCTGAGGTGCTTATCTGCATGTTTACACCATCAAAACCAGCCTTATCCTGGATGACTGGCTCTATAGCTACCTCAGACCTGTTTCTATACCTATGAAAGATCACGCAAAAATAAAGGCCTCAATCAATCAACACTCCAGAACAGTGTACAAAAACCTCATCCAAATAGTGGAGTCAGGTGGTCTATTGCCCCCTACACTGTGGTTACTGACTGGGGAGAGATACATGGTGGCAATGGAAATGGTTGCATCCACTTTTGACTTAGAAGATGTGTACAACAGTGTCCCATACAACATGCTCATGACTACTGTTGGATATGCACATATAGACAAAATGGGTCAACTCGATCACAGCAGCTTTCGAGAAAACAGTGTCGCTGTGATGTGGTGCTTGAGCATCAAAACCTCATGATGACAGAGTATCATTGCTTTTAAGTAGACTATATAGCCAAGGCTGCCACTCCTGCATTGAGCATTGGACTTTACAGTCATAGCACACATTGTTCCTAAAACCAGTGGCACAACTTCATGGTCCCCAGGGACTGATGGTTGCCTAAGATTAGTATTAAAGTACTGTATATACTATAACTGAAAAATATATGTTAAATCACTTATACGCTATCATAAATAGTATACAAAATTAAACACAGAATAACTCAAGCAACTGTAGTTAATATTTCACAGAATTAAAAGGTTGCAATCATTGTCAACTGATGTGAGAAAGAGTAACTGAAAAGTGAATGATTTTGAGAAATTATATATATGGAAGCTGCAGAGCTGTGGTTTTAATTTTAACTATATAACTACTAAAAATTTAACTATATAACTACTATAAATGTAACTATATAACTACTATAAATGTAACTATATAACTACTATTTAGCTATAAATGTAACTAAAGTCAAGCATGATAAAAACAGCATGTTACGTGCGAATTGAAAAAAACAACAGCACATTAACATTCAATTCATATTGACACTAAAGGCAAAAGATGTTTTGACTAAAATTTATTTACCAAAAAAAAACTAATGCCAGGACTATAAAAAGAAAAAAAAAACAGCTAGCGGCCCTTGCCTGCTAATTAAATGTTAAAAGCTGAACTAGGAATCAACATCCTTTTGCTCTGGATACTCCCATAAGCGTTCCGTCCCCATCTTCAGCAGCGAATGAAAGAATGAAAAGTTCCAATTTCGATGGTACCAGTAACTGTCTGATTGTATATCCATCTCTGCTTTCCCTTTAAAGATGAGCGTCTGCCAGATCCTCTGGTAACTCCTCCCCCCCCCTCCTCCCGCCATTCTCCTCAGACCGTAATGATCTATTGGCACTTGTGTTCACTCGCTCCCATAGGGCCCTCACAATGTCTAGTGTGTCATACATCAATTCACTATCAAATGGTGCAGAATCACCAGGCCCATCTGCCTGCTCATTTCCCACCACACCGGCATACCTGAAGAGAATATCCAAAGGATGTTAACTACCTGGGACCTCTGAATTGATGCTTGCCACTCTGCACGGAGCATACCTGTCTCCACCTTTCTTAATATGCTCTGTGAGTCAGTTACAATGTGTGTACAGCTAATTCTCAAGCCTGCGGAATGCAGAAGTGACTGCCTCCACCTCCATTCTCAAACTAGACATTGTGATATCATATGCCATGCTTTGTTGCACTAAGCGATGTCCATTTGCTTTTTTCTATGAACCCCTATGCACTTCATCCACCCCTCAACACATAACCCTCTGTATAGATAATTACATCACTTGGGCAGAAATTGTCAAGAATCATTTGTTGAACTTCTAGTTCTGCAGCAGCAGCTGGCCTGTCCCTGCACTCACGACCCAAAGTAGTAAGAACCCTACACATGTCTGAAACTTGCTCGGGCACTCTGACCCACTCAAACAAATTTATCAAGTCAAGTTCAAGCCTGCCCATATGTCTGGTTGTTCTTTAGCCTGCACCATCCAAGACCTTCCTCTTTTCAGTCTGTGAGCCTTAGCCCTTAGCTCTACCCAGAGCTTCATGGTGCAGGAGGTGCTTCTTGTCTGCAGCTACTTGAGATTTTATTTTGCTTGCAGAACATTGAGCCTATTGCCTGCTAATTTCATGTTGAATTCATCCGTCCTTTTATTTACTTTTTTAATAATTGAGCTGAATTCGATATTAAGAGAATCATTCATCAGCAATTCAAAATCTGTAATAACAATGATCAACTGGTATTAATTAACCCTCTTAGCACGGACGGGCCGATTATCGGCCGGCGGATGTCTGGCCCCAAACACGGAACGGCCGATCATCGGCCCGATCGTGTTTCGCCTCGAACCGCTAAGAAATCTCCTATTTTGAAACACTGAAAGTGATTCATTTATATTAACTGCTGTATAAGCTTTACACATGGCGACTTTCGAGTGTTTGGTATCGAAGTGAAAATTGTTGAATTTTTTAGATAGTGACCTGAACCGCTAGAAGTATGTCTGACTCGTATGTTTCTGCCCCTAAACTTGATGTTGATAAAACATTTGAATCAAGTGATGACACTAATTATGTTGATACTGATGCAGGATTTAGTGTTAGTAGTAATAGTGGGGAATCAGATGGGGACGCTGTTGTGTTCAGTCACAGCCCAACCATGGCTCAGGGTATATCCACCCGAAGGTGTTGACACTCCGGCACATCCATTTCTTGTGCTGACTGATGGTGAAATTCACATGTCACCTAAAGATATTATTGCTGTTTCATACATATATACCTGTTTTTGACTATTGAATTGCTTACATTTGCAAAAAGGCCAAAAGATCAATAAAAAGATTTCAAATAAAAAAAATTTTTGTTTTTAGTTTTATGTTTCAAGCATTGAAGTTGAAAATTCAAATATTCTATTTTTAGATATGCAAATGAGATAATTTGCATATACATCAATTAATTTTAACGATATTGTGAAAATCATGAACTTCAATCTATATCCTTCAAAAAGATATATTATTTCATGGGGGTCAGAATAACAGAAATCTGTCAAAAAATTTAAATAAAGTAATAACCAAATTCACTTAAAAAATGCTCCGTGTTTTTGGCTAGACTGCTAGACCTCTGAAAAACTTCCCGTGCTAAAAAAAAGGGTTAATTAGAATGTCAGTGTCTGAGTGTCAGCGTATCGTATCGCTGGGCTGACAAGTGGCCTTAAATGAATTACCACCATTGCATTTGGATTTTCTCAAGTCTATGCAACATAAAGATTATCTTTCATAGTTTTGTGCAAATCAAAGAAAGTTATCCACAAAATGGGGGAGGTGTTATTGTTGAGTCATAGGGTTTTTTTTTTTTTTTTTAAACAAATCCGTACAGTACAGTCAGCACGTGGATTTGATAACCTAGGATTTCTCAACAGTTCAACGAGAATTACTTGAAATATTACAATCACATGTTTCCTAATTTCACATACCCTGTTCGTATTTGCCGTCTTTCATCTTCCAGAAACTCTTCAACATCTTCAACGTTTGATGCTCGCCATGATTTCTTCTTATTTTTGCCAAGTTTTCGATTCTTTGAAAGTTTCGGTGCTGTGTTTACATCAGCCATCTTAATATTGATTAAAAAGTTGTATGGCTAAAATAGTTTGTAGCAGAAACGAAACAATAGTGTGGGAGACCGTAGAAAAATAAAAGATGCGGAATAGAATAGGGCAAGTCAAATCTGCACTTTATGAAACATCTTATTCAATAAATTATTGTGATTGCAGGCTAAAACATCAATTGTTGCATAACTCATTAACCTAATTACATGAATGTGGATCCTGGACAAGAGGTGACGTCCAAAATCTCACAAGGGATCAGATATATAGTGTTACAGAAGTAGCAAGTACAAGGCTCCCTTGACAGTAATAAAATTGTATTACAATTCATAAAAATATTCTAAATGGCTAAAACGCAAAAAATTATCATCACACACATCGCTATTTTTTTTTACGCGAGTGGATCTTGTTAGTTTCACTAGCCAAAGAACAAAGCAATGGGATCCCCCGCCCCCTTTTTTTTCCTTTCCTTCTTCCCTATAGGACAATACAACACTATCATCTGAAAAGACTGAAAGGTAGCAACAACCCATGAACAGAATGACGCAGCCGTAAAACAGATCTGCGACATTCGGATTTCGAATCAAGACTTGACACTAAGCAATATGTTTAAAGAAAAGAGATCGAGGAAGACAGCAAGAACAGATTTTTGAGTCTGTTGCTGTGGCGGAGAGTGGTCTGTACACCAATGGATACATGCTGTTGGGGATGGTAACGAAAATAAAAGTATGTTTGATAACGGAACAGAAGTGCCACGAGGATGATTTTTGTTATCTGGATATAGATTTAATTTAGAATTAGAAGATGAGGACAATCATAATTAAAACTATAAATTGTATAGCAAATCTCGATAATATGGATTAAGTCCGTTGGTGGAATTGCCCTCCGGCGCCAGTCATGACTAGAAGTTCACTATGCTTGACGAGAAATCAAGTCTTACGATTTACATCTAATTGTATCTAAAGAAGCATCGAAGAACATGTATCCACTGACCAGACAGCTACCTCAAGCATGACCATGGCGATAACCGTAGCTTCCAGGGCACTCGCAGAGCCAGCAGAACAAACAGCCACACACAAAGTAATCAATTTAGACTTCATGAACATGCATCAGAAAA